TACAAGCTGGGTAGATGCGGGGAATGCCGTGGATATAGCGTACCTGGATTTCAGTAAGGCCTTCGACAAGGTCCCCCATGACCTTCTGGCAAGGAAACTAGTCCAATGTGGGCTAGGCAAAACTACGGTGAGGTGGATCAGTAATTGGTTAAATGGACGAACCCAGAGGGTGCTCGAGCGGAGTGCCGCAGGGTTCCGTCCTGGGCCCGGTCCTGTTCAACATCTTTATTAATGACTTAGATGAAGGGCTAGAAGGCAGGATCATCAAGTTTGCAGATGACACCAAATTGGGAGAGAGCCAATACTCCAGAGGACAGGAGCAGGATTCAAAACGATCTTGACAGATTAGAGAGATGGCCAAAACTAACAAAATGAAGTTCAACAGTGACAAATGCAAGATACTCCACTTTGGCAGGAAAAACAAAATGCAAAGATACAGAATGGGGGATGCCTGGCTTGAAAGCATTACGTGTGAAAAAGATCTTGGAGTCCTCGTGGACAACAAGTTAAACATGAGCCAACAATGTGATGTGGCGGCAAAAAAAGCCAATGGGATTTTGGCCTGCATCAATAGGAGCATAGTGTCTAGATCTAGGAAGTCATGCTACCCCTCTATTCCGCTTTGGTTAGACCACACCTGGAATATTGTGTCCAATTCTGGGCACCACAATTCAAGAGAGATATTGACAAGCTGGAATGTGTCCAGAGGAGGGCGACTAAAATGATCAAGGGTCTGGAGAACAAGCCCTATGAGGAGCGGCTTAAGGAGCTGGGCATGTTTAGCCTGAAGAAGAGAAGGATGAGAAGAGATATGGTAACCATGTATAAATATGTGAGAGGAAGCCACAGGGAGGAGGGAGCAAGCTTGTTTACTGCTTCCATTAGGAAAAGGAACAGTGGCTTCAAACTGCAAGAGAGGAGATTCCATCTGAACATGAGGAAGAACTTCCTGACTGTGAGAGCCGTTCAGCAGTGGAACTCTCTGCCTTGGAGTGTGGTGGAGGCTCCTTCTTTGGAAGCTTTTAAACAGAGGCTGGATGGCCATCTGTCAGGGGTGATTTGAATGCAATATTCCTGCTTCTTGGCAGGGGGCTGGACTGGATGGCCCATGAGGTCTCTTCCAACTCTTTGATTCTATTATTCTATGACCCCTCTGACCCCCCCTCGCAACCCCCTCAGGGGTCCCGACCCCCAGGTTGAGAAATGTTGCTGTATGCCTTCCAGTGCAATTCGTTGGCAGAACTTGACCATCGAACCTTGTTGTAAAACATAAGGGATTTATAGAACATTGTCCTCAAATCCATGAATGAGGAGGGCCGATTGTATTGTTCAACAGCTCGCATACCAACATACACCCAGCACGTTGCCTGCCCATGTCTAAAGGCTGACCTTGCCTGATTCTCCATCCTTTGCCGGAGACAGAAGAACAGCTTGCCTCTCCCATTGTGTCCTAGGGTTCTGTCATAATTAACACATAGATTTTTCCGTAAAGTCAGCTGCTTCCGAGATTAAGCAGGGCAGCCGCTCAGTCTATAGAAAAGCGTATCGATCGTCCTTCCAGTCATTGTATAAACCTTGTCAACCGGCTGTGCCGCCAATCACCAGCCCAATAGTTGGTGGCCATCCTTGCCTTGAGCAACAAGCCTTGCCAGTACAACCCCCATCTTTGTATGTCTGTCTGTTTTAGGGGGAGGCTCGATGCTGAATTTCTGCCTGAAAGAATGTTGTTCAAGGCACCAGAGCAGACCTACTAAAATAATTAATTGGAGCCATCGTTTATTCCTCTACTTATTTATTAAAAAGCAATTTATTAAAGTTGCTTTTGAAACTGGCTGCTCTAATTCATTTCCCAGCATTTGGAACTTTTTCAACAGCCTCCCTGCTCGGAAACAATGGTTGGCATCCCTCACGGGTTCGTAACCTAGAATTACGGATCTGTAATTGGCTTGTATTCATTTATGCTACTCATTCATGATTGTGGCTCTATTGACAGGACAAGAAATGTTCCCTGGAAGCCTCCTAAAACTTCAGGAAGTTGCTGCAAGCAATGGAGATTCACAGAGGCTGACTGTGTTATCTTGAAACACACTCAATGATGCCACAGACTTCCATTGCTTGCAGGAGCAACCTGCAATTCCAGGTGGGTTTTAGGGGTTGATTCATTTATTTATTTGTTTTATTTACTATATTTCTATATCACCATTCTCAGCCCGAGGGCGACTCAGGGCAGTTTACAAAACGGCACAATTCTGAAGTCGAACATGACCCCCCACCCCCCTAAGAGATAGTAACTTATAGTTTTGCTAAGGGCAAGGATGCCAGGCTGGATAATAAGGGTTAAGCCTTGGTCAGTTTGGTGTGTATCATTTAATCAAGGCTTTATGCTCTATTTTCATATGTTTACAGCAGAAAGTAACCAATTTCTTACTGAAAATCATGCCACAAAAGTATTTGAATTTTCCCATCTGAGGCACACCTGGGCTCCTGGTGGTCCCCCATCTCACAAACAAGGGACTCTCTTTCCCCCTCATGGATATATTTCCCTTTATGGACCTTCCTATGAATAATATGAACTATGGACATTGGGAAGGTAGTTGGGTTTACTCTCTGTATTATAATTTCTATGTTTTCATATTTTCACCTGTATTTCTATATTTTCCCTCATGTTTTCTGACCTTGCCCTGACCCTTTTGCCCCCTTCCCCTCTCCTTGGGGGAAATCTACAAGGAAGCTGCCCTGCCTCTGGAAAAACAATCAGCAATCATGAAAAGACCCTTATCTTTGGACATTCTTTGCATGGACAATAGTAAAGGAAATCCTTTTGTCTTCGGAGTTGGGCCACCATTAGGATTTCTGTTTGGCAGACTTTTTAATCATATAACAATGGGGGGAATATGGCCTTAGGAAAGTCCTCTTTTCCTCCAAGCCATTTTTCTTTCAAATCTTTCCACTAAGAACATTCACAAAAGTTTCCCCTTTGTGCCCTATCTGATTGTAAAAGGAAAACCTGGATTAAGCCATCAATGCTTATCACAGACCCATCTCAGGACAATAAAGTGGCTTCTCTGGAAGGCTGATCCCCAGCCTCGATAAGCCTAAGGACATTAAAACTCCATAATCCACTCCAGAATGCATTGTCTCCCTTCATCCTGCCTCCCTCCCTTCTGATTCGCTGGAGTGTCAAGATAGCAGGAGCCTCCTGATAAGCTCTGGCGCCCCGTGAAAGCCCTGCGATTGGCCCTGATACATGGGGGATGGCCAAGTCTCCTCCCAGCTGTTTGCATGTCAGCCAATCCCCTTCGAGCTGGGCAGGAGGGGGGAGTGGGAATTTTGAAACTCACAACTCTGTATTTTCTATAAAAATGGCCTTTATTTCTGTAACCACATGCTCTGCTTGGTGAATGTTCGCTAATAAACCTCGGTGGCACTTCCTTCCACTTGGTGAGACCTTTTATTGGGAAAAATCTGGGATTGGGTGCTTCTCTCTGTCTCGCCAGGGTAACGAACTCTTTAAAGAGTCAGATTGGTCTCTGCCTCCTAGCAAAGACCCCTAAATTCCTCCTCTATAACAATTCGATGCCCACAATACTATAAAAACAGTTAAAACATTTAACATAAATAAAATTCAATAAGTAATAAAAGCACAAAAACATAGATCCTCCGCATCTCATTACCAAAATCATTATCCAATCGCATTGTCTAGTCGTTCCAAGATCAGGGTTTATCTGCTACACTGCATTTGAGAAAGCCTGCTCAAAAAGCAGTTAAGAAATGTTAAGAGGGTGGGGGCAAATCTAATGTCCCTAGGGAGGGCGTTCCACAGCCAAGGGCCACCACTGAGAAGGCCCTGTCTCTTGTTCCCGCCAACCGAACCTGTGAAGAAGGTGGGACCAAGAGTAGGGCCTCCCCAGAAGATCTTAAATTCCTGGATGGTAGCTATGAATGCAGTGCAAGCTCACAGACATTCCTTATTTGGACTGTGCAGCCCATAATACCCCGTAAACATGGCCAAAGCCTCAGGCACAAAACTATGTCAGACTATGTCAATCACCTTCTACTGTCCTTGCAGAACTGTGATGCAGCAACAAAGGCTATAATTTCATGTTTATTTGATCAAACCAGTCCTTATCGCTTGATTCTGGTGTAGGCCCTATCTACACTGCCATATAATGTGCCATGTTCAGATCTGGCAACTTTATATAATTGTACCATTGTGATTTTTGTGGAGAGGTGGCTGCCAAGTTAGCAGAAATTGTCAACATTTTCCAATGTTCCACCATTAAGCTGTATTTCTGGCATTGGAGAGGGATTGGCTGGTGACTTCTGGAAGAGCACTTTGGTTTTCTCAATGTTCAATGAGAGACCGAGCTTCACATATGCTTCTGCAAATGTGTTTAGAGTGGCCTGTAGGTCTTCTGAATGCGCACAAAATACATTATCATACTGGAGTTATATGATGGATGTTGTTGTGATCTTGGTTTTGACTTTCAGTCTGCTGAGGTTAAATAGCTTGCCATCTGTCCGATAGATGATTTCCACTCCAGTGGGAAGCTTCCCGTCAACAAGATGAAGTATCATAGCGATGAAAATGGAAAATAAGGTTGGGTATATAGCAGGGTTGAGAGGACAATAGCTTTATAGACAAGCACCTTGGTATCCCTACGGATGTCCCGATCCTCAAACACTCTCTGCTT